AACTTGTAAGTAAATTCCGGAATTTGCATTAGTTTTACGGATGTTGTGTGGGTTTTTGTTTTTTGTTATTAAATTATGTTTCTCACAGGACATTCTTGTAGTGAAATATATAGTAATGTGCACACATTTCAAATGTAATATTTGGTTACTAATTTGGAAAGTGAATATGTATCTATAGAATTCAAATGATATGGTTGCCAAAAAAAAAGAAGAATTGAAATGATATGTATCTTTGTCTTCCTCTAATTACCACTAATTGAGATCATCTTTAACTTTACACATTATTTAAGCTAATTCTTGACTAAGAAAGCTCTTTAAATCGAAATAATAAACTAAACCGATCAAACCCGAAGCTAGCCAGCCAAATGTGGTTTTATTTTAGTGGAACCAAATTACTCCGAATACACTGAACCGATCACCAAATGCATAGAACCAAACCAAAATTAAATACAAATAGCAGTGTTGTTAGACTTTCAATTTTTATCAAACCGATAAAATCGTAAACCAGATAAAATTGAAATGAAATCAAACCGTAAACCGGATAATTCGCTTAAAAAAGAATTCGGTGGACAAAATCCAAATAAAGAGAAGCAAATAATAAAATCGAATCCTTTCTTCGTCTTCTTCCTTTTTTTTTTTTTTTTAATAAATTAATTAAAAAATGGGAAAATCGATTCCCATCAAAACAGGGCTAAGAGGAGCGTCCATTGCAGCAGCTAGATTCATCCATTCATCGAAACCGATCCGACCCATTTCTTCAAACACCATGAACAGTCCCGACAAAGATTCCTCAGCCGCCGGCGAAAGTAGTAGTAGCCGCCGCTACGTTCCTCTTTCCTCGGTGGTCTCCGATTGTGCGAAGCGGTGGTTCAAAGACACTCTTGAGGAAGCTAAAGCTGGTAACATCACTATGCAGGTTTTGTTGGGTCAGATGTATTACTCTGGCTATGGAGTCCCTAAAGATTCTCGAAAGGTTTCTTCTTTATTTTAGGGTTTTTTCACTTTTGGTGTGATTAGAAAAATCACTAATTTTTTTGAAGGTCGATTTGAGTTTTTTTTCAATTTAATTTAACGCAGGGGAGACTTTGGATTACGAAAGCATCAAGAATTCGTTCTTCAGTGTGGAAAGTGAAGGATAAACGACCAGGTTACAACGCGAGTGATTCAGATTCTGATTAGCATATCAATATATCTCATCAAAGATTAAAATTGTTTATCGAAAGAGCTTGATTTTTCTTTGTTCTGTTTTTTTTGTATCATCTTTGGATGTTCCAAGTTCCAACAATAAACAGTTTCTTGTTTGATGTTTGGCTAATCATATTGTAGCTTATATTGCTCAAAGTATTTCTCTTTGTTTTTTTTTAAATCTTGTTTGCTCCTACTTAGCTAATGAATAAGGGGTTTTAAAGGTATTATTATTATTTGTCTCACTTTTTGTTCCAAAGTATATAAATATATATCCGAAGAAGCTCCATTTACGATTGCACTACCTTAAACCTTAAGTCCAATTTAGCTTGATAGAGTTGAGTGTTGTTTCATATGAGGAATATTCAGGTGAGCAATGAGTTTTGTTTGAGGAAGCTAATGATACTAAACTCTGAATGTAATAATGCACCACCCAAACGGTCAAAAACACATTAACTTCCACTATTTTACCAAATACTATATGTCACCCATTACATATCAATTCAAGACTCACATCGGAATATATGTCACACCGAAAAGACATCAAATGGATATTTGATATCGATTCAAGACTCATCGGAATTTATGTGTTCACACAAAAAGACATCATTTGTTGTGTCGTGCTTGGTTTTTGTATAGTAAACCAATTTCAAAATCTAAACCATAACATTATAATTGTACTAACATTTTTCATTTCCCTTAAATTCCTCTTTCTTTTACAATCACTCATTCATAGCTACCACTCTTTTAACACCTAAGTGGGAATATGTTGGCCTTCCCAACCAAAAGAAAAAAGTCACTTTTGATATCAATATCACTAACAATTAGTATTCCATTAGCCTAGAGAG